GCAGAGGACGTGGAAAAAACCACGGCGTAGCCGGAATCAGTGGACTTTCCGGGTCAGTCGTTGTCGCAGCGGCCGGGGTTCAAATCAGACCTGGGGATCTTTGCTGCATGTCGCCCCCCCCCCTCTCTCTCCTGTCCATCTCCAGCTCCAGTAATTAGATTTAATTAGACATTTTCTAAGCTTTTAGAGGTCTGTGTTTTAGGTGAACTGAGCCTTTAAATGATGAAGAGCTGTGAGGACTGTACTCTTCTTCAGTGTTTCTGCAGTTCAGCTTTACTGCGACTAGGAGGCCTGACTAATATCTGAACACTCTTACATAACAGCAAAGGCTGTAGATAAACTCTTCATCCAAACATCGGAGGAGGAGGAGGGGGAGGAACAGGAGGAAGAAGAAGAGGAGGAAGGAGGAGGAAGAAGAGGAGGAAGGAGGAGGAAGAAGAGGAGGAAGGAGGAGGAAGAAGAGGGGGAAGAAGAGGAGGAAGGAGGAGGAAGGAGGAGGAAGAAGAGGGGGAAGAAGAGGAGGAAGGAGGAGGAAGAAGAGGGGGAGGGGGGGGAGGGACAAGAGGAGGAGGAGGGGGAGGAACAGGAGGAAGAAGAGGGGGAGGAAGAGGAGAAAGAGGAGGAGGAGGAACAGGAGGAAGAAGAGGGGGAGGAAGGAGGAGGAAGAAGAGGGGGAGGAAGGAGGAGGAAGAAGAGGAGGAAGGAGGAGGAAGGAGGAGGAAGAAGAGGGGGAAGAAGAGGAGGAAGAAGAGGAGGAAGGAGGAGGAAGAAGAGGGGGAAGAAGAGGAGGAAGGAGGAGGAAGAAGAGGGGGAGGGGGGGGGGGACAAGAGGAGGAGGAGGGGGAGGAACAGGAGGAAGAAGAGGGGGAGGAAGAGGAGAAAGAGGAGGAGGAGGAACAGGAGGAAGAAGAGGGGGAGGAAGGAGGAGAAGAAGAGGAGGATGGAGGAGGAAGAAGAGGGGGTGGAAGAGGAGAAAGAGGAGGAGGAGGAACAGGAGGAAGAAGAGGGGGAGGAAGGAGGAGGAAGAAGAGGGGGAAGGAGGAGAAGAAGAGGAGGAAGGAGGAGGAAGAAGAGGGGGAGGAAGAGGAGAAAGAGGAGGAGGAGGAACAGGAGGAAGAAGAGGGGGAGGAAGGAGGAGGAAGAAGAGGGGGAAGAAGAGGAGGAAGAAGAGGAGGAAGGAGGAGGAAGAAGAGGGGGAAGGGGGGGAGGGACAAGAGGAGGAGGGAGAAGAGGAGGAAGAAGAGGAAGGGGAGGAAGATGAAGAGGAGGAAAATGAGGAAGAGGGGGAGGAACAGGAGGAAGATGAGGAGGAGGAACAGGAGGAAGATGAGGAGGAGGAAGATGAAGAGGAAGAAGAGGAGGAAGAGGGGGAGGAACAGGAGGAAGAGGAGGAACAGGAGGAACAGGAGGAAAATGAGGAAGAGGGGGAGGAACAGGAGGAAGATGAGGAGGAGGAACAGGAGGAAGATGAGGAGGAGGAGGAAGAAGAGGAGGAAGAGGGGGAGGAACAGGAGGAAGAGGAGGAACAGGAGGAACAGGAGGAAAATGAGGAAGAGGGGGAGGAACAGGAGGAAGATGAGGAGGAGGAACAGGAGGAAGATGAGGAGGAGGAGGAAGAAGAGGAGGAAGAGGAGGAGGAACAGGTGGAAGATGAGGAGGAGGAGGAAGAAGAGGAGGAAGATGAGGAAGAGGGGGAGGAGGAGGAAGAGGTGGAAGATAAGGAGGAGGAGGAAGATGAGGAAGAGGAGGGGGAGGAGGAACAGGTGGAAGATGAGGAGGAGGAGGAAGAAGAGGAGGAAGGTCAACGAGAGACAGCAGGATGGATCTGTGTGTTTCTACCTGCTGTTAACACGTCTGTTTTACATCAGTGCGTCAGTGCATGTAAATACGACACACACCCTGTTTGAGTTCTCCATAGAAATCAGCTGCTGCACTTTTTGAATTTGAGTTTGATTGATTATTATTTGATTGTTGATCTGATCAATATGAGCATCATACAACAGTGACTGCCATTATCAATTATTATGATGATGTACCTCTGCCATATATTTAAATGCTCAACTTAATAAGGGTTTTTTTGTTATGGTAATTTCATGTTTTATTTTGAAAGTGTCCCCGCTGGTGTGTTCTAAGCAGCTTTGCTTCCTGTCTAATGTGTTCCACCTGCGACTCATCAGTCAGTCCAAGTCGTCACATATGGATGCGTGGTCAAGACCCGTCGGGTTGTAACGCACTGCGGAGCCTCTTCTCATCTTTTCCTAAACCTAACAAAATTACAACATTTCACAATGTTAAAAACTAGTTTTATTTTGAAAGTCTAACCAGATGTTGCATTATTTATCTTTGCTAACTTGACCTGTCGAAGAACTACGCTAAAGGGTACCCAGGACGTTAAAAAGCGACACCGAGGGGTCTTGACCAAGCATCCATGTGTGACGAGTTGTGTTGTCCTCTGGTGTATTTAAGTCTGTGTCTCTCAGTTGTTTGTTGTTAATTCGTCCTTCGTTCATGACGAGCGCTCACTCTTCCTTCTGTTTCCTTCTGGAACTTCTGGATTTTCTTCCTCGTGGACTACACATATGGATGTACGGCCAAGACACACTGGCGTCATGTTGTAACGCACTGAGGAGCTTCTTAGCGTCATTTTTTTAACGCTAACCGTAGGTGTAGAGTATTTGACACAAGTCAAAGTGAGGTGGTTGGGTGGGCCAGAAACTGGACTTTCACCCAGAACAACGCTGTTCTTTTTTCTGTGTGAAACAAAAAATCAACATTGAATGCTTTTTTTTTTTGTTGTTGCATACATGACGTAACTTAAGTCACGTAAGTAGCATAATTATTTTAACCCAAAGCCTTATTTTGAAAGTCTAACCGGATGTTGCATATTTATTGTTGCTAACTTGACTGCTAAGCCCCACATGTCAAAACTATGACATTAAAAAGCCGCCAAGAGGTCTTGACCAAGCGTCCATGTGTGACGAGTTGTGTTGTCCTCTGGTGTATTTAAGTCTGTGTCTCCCATTTGTTTCTTGTTAGGTCATTCTTCGTTCATGTCGAGCGCTCACTGTTCCTTGCGTTTCCTCTGTGCTTCTGGATTTTCTGCTTCGTGGACTTCACATATGGATTTGGATTATTGCCTGTGCTACTCTGGAGTTGTTTGCCCTTTTTGTTTGGACTGTCGGGCAGATTACGGACCTTGGCCAGCCTCGCCCAATCATAAGTGTGTTCATTTATGGCTGAACTGTTTAATAAATGTGTGTAAACCGTACGGTCTCGCTTCGGCATTCTGGTTCCCTGTGTCCTTGCTCTGGTGAACGAGTCGGAGGAGAGTTATGGAAACGAGGTCATGAGGTCAGAAGAGATGATGATTAAGCACTTCGTCAGTAACAGAGTGGAGCTGTTTGCTTATTTTAAATGAATCCCAGAGACAGAGAGAACTCTGTGTGCCGCTGCATCTGCATGATCTCTTTATATCGAATTAAACGTGAGAACACATATGTGTGTTTATGAGCAAATTAATCTGATTAACGTGACTGAGTGAACACAGAGAGCCTGCAGCTCTGCACACAGAGAGAGGAGGGATGTTAGAAGCAGAGAGGTAGAAAGGAAGCAGAGAGAGAGAGAGGGTGGAAGGAAATAGAGAGGGAGGAGATGAAGATGAGCGAGAGAGGACGACTTAGTGAGAGATGGTGGATGAGGTGGGGAGGAAGAGGAGGAAAAGATAGAGGAGAGGGGGATGGGTGAGCAGTCCTTACAGCGTGGGGGAGGGGAGAGAGAGAGAAAAAGGACTGCTGCACTGTAAAAATACATGTTTCAGCATGTATTCAGTCCGAATGCAAGAAGAGAAAACATCAGAAACAGAAAGTAAAGCTGAGCGCTGAGCAAACAAACAAGGCCAGATGTTAAAACATGATTTCATCAGATGTTAAAATAAATGTATTTATGGCTACATGTTTGTCTGGGTTTGGTATTAATCAGTCGTGCTGTAATATCTGAGGAAAACTAAAGATAATTCTGTTTGTTTTTGACAGAGTTTTAAATTGGCTGGCTGTAAAATGTATCTGAAGTTCTTCATAAATTACACTCACAATGTTTTTCTGTCTCCTTATATTTTCAGCGTCTAAGTGTTTTTTAATAAACTAAAGTAAAAAGTCATCTTTTAGTTGCTCTGAGTAAAATTCAACAGTCTGCGTTTCCACAGAGAAAACGTCGGTTTGTTTTTAGCTACTTCACTCAAAAGTAACAGTGCCACATTTTTAACTCAGTCGCAGGTAAAAGTCCTGCAGTACAAGTATTTGAACATTGTATTTAAGGTAGTACTTGAGTAAATACACGTAGTTTCTTTCCACATGCAGACGCCTGCAGTCTCTAAAGGAAAGTGTAGTTCAGTAGCTGCCAACCTGAGGGTCGGGACCCCCCACGGGGTCCAAAGATACGTCTGAAGGTCACAAAATTATGAAAGACAGAAGAAAGAAGATAAGTTTTGGGGGCTTTTCTCCATTTTTTCGTTGTTGCTTTTTTCATGTGATACGCGGGACACTTTTTTTCTCTTCAGGCATAAAAAGAACTTTAATTTCATTCCTTAACTTTAAAGTCAGAAAGGTTTGGAAGCATTGATTATTATTATCATTATTATTATTATTATATATTATTATTATTATTATTATTACTAGTGCAGCGCCCATTCAGTGCCAATGTTACGCCTCCCCGCGTTTTTTAGATATTCAAAATGTGTGTCTCACCTTGGTTTCACCTGCAACATTAATAACACTGAAAGAACCCGACAGTGGCGGAGACTTTTGTGATGATGATAACTCTGTTTCAACATTTCATGTCCAAACTTGTACTCACGCTAAGTCTTCTGTAGTTCCTGTTACACGTGTTTTAATGATTTGTATCTTGATAAACTAATTTTGTGATCACAGAATTCAAAGTTTATTAGTTCTGAACGTGTCACGTGTCCCAACTGTTCTCGACAAGGGTTTTGTTGTGTTTTACAGTGTGCAGCAGCCTGCAGGCCGTGTGATGGACAACAGGTTAAATTTGCCACCTCGAACCAAATCTCATCACATGAACAGGTCAATGCTCCACTCATCCATCCATCTGCCCTCACACCGCTTCTGCCCTTCTTATCCTCTGTCCTTTCCTTTTGATTCTTTCTTATTCTTACCTCCTCCCCCCGTCATGTCATGCAGACTTAAATCAGGACGTTGACCTCAGGTGTCAGAGTGTGTTTCTGATGCCAGCAGAGTGAGTGTGTTTTTGCATGCATGGATACACACACCGTGTATCTGTGTGTGTATGTGTGTTAGCAGCAAAGCATGCCAGCAGCGAGCCGTGTTACCCACAATCCTCTGGGATCTCTGGCTCTACCCAGAGTCCATCTGTGCTCTCTGTGACCGCCCTCTCTCTCTCTCTCACATTTATCAATCGGATTTTTAAAAGCTTTTATTCTGATATTATAAACAAAAACGAAACGTTTAGTCCGGTTCAGATTCTGCCTCCGTGACGAAGCTCTAATGATAAATGTGACGCTCACATGTCAGAGCCTTTTATAAGCACACGAATGCACCATCAGTCTGCAGTGTTAACACAGAGGAGTGTGTGTTTTCATAACATCCACATACCTGTTAATCTCAATATATCCAGTTTACGGCTGCAACAAATGACCATTTCAATTATCAATTGATCTGCGGAGTGGTGCCTCGGTGAAAAATGCCTGTTATACTGTAGAAGATGTCTTTAAATGTCTTGTTCTGTATAATTTTAATATTATTTCTCTTGATCGACTAATCAATCGACTAATCCTTGCCCCTCTATTTTCATTTTTTATTTTTTAATAACTTGAATTCCTCTGGTTCAGCAGCTCATTAGGAGATGACCACTCGCTGCAAAGAAAATCTTTATTTATCTCTAAATGCAGGCACACAGAGGCAGGTCACAAAGGGCGACAGCAAATATGCCAAACTAGAGGCTTTAAAACGGTAGTCCACAAACTAACGGGGGATGTCACGGCGGCTACGTCCACTGCTTTTATACAGTCTGTGGTCAGAACATAAACCTCTCGTCTGGTCACATCCGTCTGCTGTTTCTTTAAATAAGATTTTACAGAGACACAAAGCAGCAGCTCCTCCGACCAGGTGTTCAACCCCAAACTCCACAGAGAGAGCAGAAAGAGAGTACAGACAGAATAAAAGACGAGTGACATCAGGCCATCCTGACACACAGTCTGCCTTTCTTTATTTCTTTGGGTCTATAAATAAACGGTCAGACTGCCGTCGACTTGTTGTTCTATGCTGAGGAGACGCCGGAGGGACGAACACGGGAAGAGGGACGGAGGAAAAGGAAAGAAAGAAAGGGGCTTTCATGGGGGCTGGTAATGGACAGGGAGGGGAGGGAGGAGGCAGGCTTGAAAGGAAGGAGGTGGATTAATATTTGACAAGAGAGGAGACGTGAAAGGAATGACGGGGGGGGAGGATGGAAAAGAGAGGGGGAGGTTTAGAGGAGCAGAAGAAGGAGGTGAAAAGGGAGAAGAGGAGAGAGAGAGGATGACTGGATAACATGTTCAAAGATGGTGTCCCAGGTACTCCTATAAAAGGGCCCACAGAGCATGCTCAGTAGAGACTTCCTGCTGGCTCGCCAAACACATGAACGGGATAAAATTATTTAGGGAGAAACATTGTTTCTTCATGCACTGGTCAATTTTGGGCTACTTTGCTTCCTCAACATGTCTTCTTTCAGACTAGTGGAAAGAAAACATCAAAAACACACATTTTTTATTTTATTTATTATATTAGTTTATTTTACTGCATTTTCTGTCTTTATCGCTACATGTCCTCCCGTTTGTCGCTTTCTGGACCATCTGATTCCCGGTATCGTTGGAGAGCTCTGTCTCTCCCGCAAAAGGTTGTTGGATCCAAATGTGGTCATTTCTGCTGTACCAGTAACCAATTGTGAAAGTACAGAGGCGGATTTAAGCTTAGAGTGAAATCTGATTGACTAGCAGCGATTCCTGAAAACGTGATTGGTTTAGACGCGTCACATGGTGTACTTTTGACACTTGATTTAGCTTTCCGCTGGTCGCTCTGTCTCAGTTATCAGTTTGATGTGTTATAGATGTTCTATATAGTTGTTGTTAATGATTTGATTCGATTATGGCTCTGTAAATATTGATTTTCAATAAAAATGTGTAGAATTTTACAAGACATATCATTACAGGTTGTTTTTCCTCATGCTCTGAGCCTGAAATTTCCACCTCAGCAGCTCTTATAGCTGCCAAAACTTTCCAGTAATATTCCTGATGATAATCTGAATTATAGAACATTTTATTCCCAAAAACATGGCAACATTTTTTATGCCCGTTGTAAGTAATTTCTGATTTATGGAGTCATAAAAAGAGATTCCCTATGTAAAAATATTTAAGTCTAATATGTCAACAAAATAAAACAATAATTTTGAACTGGATTTAATCCAGTGTTCAGATTTTAGTTCTTGAAATAGATGCAAATTAGCACATATTTCATTAGAAACTGCCTCATTTGCATATTTAAATGTAAAATCCTCTTCACCTACAGTGTCTCGCCTTAACGTAATGGCTCCTGTAGACTTTCTAAACACTCCTGAGATATCCGGTTTCCCTTTTTATGCCAGGCTTAGTTTACCTATAACCAGGTGTAACTGTCACATCACTTGTTGGGGGGGGGGAAGCCTCCTGTGTTATCAGGGAGGAGCTTATAAACCTTACGAGGTTTTCATCCGACAGCGAGTGTGTGTGCTGGTATGAGGACACACACGCAGTCAGACCGCCTGCCAGCCGCCACCCGACTAAAAGAAGAAGATTATCTATTGATTCCATGGCTCATTGCATCCTGGGAAAACACTTAGATTACCCAGAGTGCCTCAGTGCTGCCGGCTCCTTCATCTCACTACTGCTGCACCGAGTGGAGGGGAGGGGGGCAGGATGATGGGAATCTTAGCAGGAAGTATGGATGGTTTTGTGATGATTATTTTCCCCTCGAACTACTAATAATCAATAATTTCTTAGGTTTATTAGTTTCTTCTTTTCTTGGTGAAGTTCAGTCCAATGAAAGAAAAGTGATATTGATCGAGTCGCCGCGAGGGGGCATTGGGGGAGGTAATATAAATTTGTATCTACCCTGGTTTTCATACTGTTTTATATTACATCAAATATTGATATTATAATTAGACCTGAGTTTACAAATCACACATAAAACAGTTTTATGATATGAGGATGATTTAGACAGAAAAGGATATGGAAAGATTATGATCACGATTAAAAAGAAAACCAGTGTCGTCTGTTAGTAGAAAATGGAAACCAACACGCAGTCTCCAGGGTCGTCACTTGGTCAGACCCCTTGGCATTGTTTTTTTAACGCCCTGAGTACCTTTGGCGTTGTTTTTGATCATGTAGGGCTCCGTGGTCAAGTTAGCAACAATAAATATGCAACGTCCAGTTAGACTTTCAAAATAAAACCAGCAATTAACGTTGTGAAACGTCGCAGTCTGGTTAAGCCTAAACCTAACCCCTTGCCCTCAGACCCAAAGGTTCCCGCTTGGTTCTGATATAATGTTTCTGAACTTTTTCCACCACAATGGAGCTAATCAATACATTTCACATCTGCATGGCCGTTAGGGTCAAGACTGTCCTCCCCTTCGTCCATGAGGATCTGTACTGACCCTAATGAAGACACCCAGTGTAGTAGAGATAGAAGAAGAAAAGCAACCCCTCCCATAAGTGGTATAGTCCTAAAGTCACCTGATGCTGCTGACCTCTGAGATCTCTGTACACAAGAAAACATCATGGTATGGGTTAAAATAACTAAATTACATGACTTAAATTACGCAAGTAACATTACTTACGTAGAACCAATGTTGACTTTTTGTTTCACACGGGAAACGAACACCAGTCTTCTGTGTGAAAGTCCGGTTTCTGACCCACCAACCTCCTTCCTAAGACTATTCTGTTATTTATCTAGTATGCCGACTTTTAGTGTTCAACAACAGAATGAACTAAAGGGCTTCCCAGTGCATTACAAATTGACGCCAAAGGCTCTTGACCAGGCGTCCAATTGTGACGACTTGGGAGTGAGAGCAGGTTGTCCAGGTGAAAGAACGCAAACATATGTTGTTTGGGGAGCGTTTGCTAATAAGCCTCCCCATCAAGACTCGCAGGAGAGAGACCATTTTGTCTCAGCTCTCTGTCCGAACAGAGCAACATAACGTGAGGAGTTCCCCAAGGCTCCATCCTGGGTCCCCTGTTATTTTTAAAAAAGTTTTTACCTTTTTTAAATTTATTTTTTAAGTGGTTTCCATACTTTAAATGTGTGTGTGAATGTGTTTTCTGCTTTCTTTGAAGCACCTCGAACACATTTGGGATATAAAAGGTTTAAAAAGACAAAAACATGAAAACAGCGACAAACTCCAAATCCAGAAAGATCTGTTAAATTCCATCCATCCATCCATCCATCGTCCACCGCTTATCCTGTGTACAGCGTTGCGGGGGGGGGGCTGGAGCCAGCTGACATCGGCCGAAAGGCGGGGTACACCCTGGACACAGACAACCACGCTCACAACTTGACCAAGGACAATTTAGAGACACCAATTAAGCTAGCCTGCATGTCTTTGGATGGTGGGAGGAAGCCGGGGTTTGAACCCATGACCTGGGGGGGAACAGGGGTTGGAACCCATGATCTTCTTGCTGTGAGGCGACAGTAGAATTCCACCAGCAGCAAATCCGACTGGGCTTCAATGAAGTATTGATCAGGCATTGATGATTAAGCATCACAGCTGGGATACACATCAGGTCTCCTCCACTGAGTATTGATTGCTGAACATGTTTATGTCTGTGATTTATTTAAAGCCATAAACATGTTTAGTTTGCAGTATTTTAAATGAGATTAAGGTTTTGTGATCACATGTTTGAAATTCACTTAAATAATCTATAAAGGTACATTTTACACACACACACATCCCCATAAACTGTGAAACTGGGAATTCTGTATTTCATTAGACATTTTTTCCAGACAAGGATAAATTACATTATTTCTATAGTTTATAC